CCTGGCCGCCCTTGGTTTCAAGTCTTTATATATATATATATATATCATGGCTGACTACTAAAACTTGTGGCCTTCCTTGGATACTCAGCTTTCGGGGTCGGCGGCACTGGCGGCAGCCTGTAAATATACATACGTACATACACATACACACACACACACACACGTATCTCTACATTCTGCCTGCATGCTTGAATTGCTGCTTGGATTGCTTGCTTGATTGCTTGCTTTGCTTGAATTGCTGCTTAATTTGCTTGCTTGCTTGATTACGGGCTACGGGCTTAAGGCCTCAAGGCTCACAGGCTTGCTTGCTTGCTTTCTTATTTGCTTCTTTCCTTTCTCCTTGCTTACTCACCTACTTACCTGCTTGCTTGCGCACTTTCGGGGTTGCTTGCTTACTCACTGACTTGTTTATTTGCTTCCTTACCCACCTGCTCACTTTTACTTGCCTACTTACCTAAATCTCTACTTACTGATGTACTTGCTTGCTACATGGCTGCCTGCAAAACGTCACGACGATGGGAAAGAGACCACATAGCCAACGGCACAGCTTGCCGACCATGTCATCAACAGCACGAGCTGTACCGGTCTGTCGACTTGAAAATTTGCAGTCCTCGTTTCCTTGTATGACATGTGTAAGAGTGTAGCAGCTGTTCATTGTGATTGAGAGCTTCAACTTGTTTCGAAAGCCAAAGCCAAGATGCACATTTGCCGAGGAGCTTATCCAGATCATGAGCACGCAGATGGACAAGGCCACATCATGCCCGCCGTGACAACATGGGTTTAGGATTTAGGGTCCAGGGCCAAAAAGATCTCAGCGCTCACCGCTTTCGTCAGAGAAAGGAGCAAGGATGATCGCTCTTGCCGGATGCTTCTACACCGAAGCCCAGCGCTTTTCGAGTTAAATTTCTAGCGCCAAGTAGCTTTTAATGAGTCCGCGAACGAGCCGTCGCAACAATGCTTGCCGTGTCTGTTCTGTGTGTACGAAAGCCCATATTCAACATGTACGTATATAGACGAACGAAGTGTCTGGTGTGTATGTATGCATCTCCCATCCCATCTCAACAGCCGCTATCTGTTTGCCTGCATGTAGTGAGGAGATGGTACAAGCATCATGCAATAGTTCGGCCTGGCGTGTTGAGGTGTTGAGGAATCGTCCAACAGGGATGTGCAAGCTGACGGAGCATGCTGGCTGCTTAGAGGACTTTGAAACACCATCAGGGTAGCATTCTTGGATTAGTTCTCTCGATGCAGTATCATCTGTATTCACCGCTCAAGCACGTCTTGAAAGGATTGCTAGACATCTGAGCTTTGTGTCGCTTTTTTGTTTGAGCTTCGAGAAAGCCCCTCAGCGGATACACAATCCGAAGACAGCACCCATCAATGATGGGCAGAAGCTGAGGTGGTCGAAAGTATGTTATCCAGCCTACGCGCCATTCTCGAGCAGGCCAAGGCACGGAATGACGAGTTCAAAGCTGCGAGCCCACACGTGGATGATCTTAATTGTAGAGTGTAGAGGCGAGAACGGCGTGTTGAGTTTTGCCGTGGCTCCGGTAGGCCTATCCGGATTGGACACCTTGGGACCTAGAGGACTGAGCTTGCCATCGATGTGCCATCGTGAGCCGAGCGTGCACTTCCTCGTGCACTGCCATAGAAAGGACCACACAGGGTACTTACCAGATCGGCTGGCTCCTTTCAGCCAGGGCCCAGCTTCAGGACTTCGAAGACAGAAAGGGCCGGTAAGTGACCTTAACGGCTCGCTAACTGGGCTGTGCATGTGCAGGGTCGCGCAAGTGGGAAAGCTTCGGGGACATGGGGGCATTGCACACCACTCCGATGTGAGACTCTGACAGCAAGCACCTGAGGCCGATTCTGCTGGTCGCTGCTATCCACGAACGAGCACGTTCTGAAATGCTTTATCGAGAAGTGGATGACTCAGTTGTTTTCTCGAGTCACGCGAGTCTGGTTCCATCTCCTTGCACAGATTCTGTTTGGCATTCTGTGACATTTTGTCATTATTGTTCGCAGGCAGGGGCTGTCTCTGGTTCGAGATATTCAACAGTTGCCGTGTCGGTGCCTGATCAACCATGTGCAGTGAGCACTGGTCATGCCTTGTCCAGGACATTGCGGCAGAAGTTGCGTAGCTTCGTATCTCCTCTTTGTAACCCAGGCCTCCCATATTTCTTTACATCGCTCGAAGGCCCGGGGCTCGGGCAGCCTGACCGGACCGTTGTAATCCCTCTTGCCTCTTTTGGAGGTCAGCAGCATCCAGTCGCCAGCCTCTTCAACCTGCAGGCTGCCTTTGGCCTTGACTTGTGGATGCACGAAAACGGGCAAGAGCTTGAAAGGCAAAGTGCGAAGATGGCGGTGCGGCGGTGGGAGCAGAGCTGAAAGAAATGCTGGAGACCTAGTTATGAGTCTGAGGTGGAGAAGATGCCGTGGGCAGAGGGCGAGATGCAGTCTTTCACATCATGCGATGCTCATGCAGACGGTGGAACTTAAAGTGCTCGTGCTGAAAGTCGCAGCTGCCGCTGATTCCTCAGGCTGTCCACCAACCTGGAGAAGGCCGTGATGATGGCGGCAGATGACTGCTGGTGCTTGACCTGGTTGATCGGGCCCAGGTGTTGCCAATCTTGAAGGAATGCGCGGCTGGTGCCGGTGTCTCAGAAATAAAGTCTAAGTGAGACCTACTGTAGGACCTGAGACTGGGAGAGGCCAATTTGATGCATCTCTCCAAGGATCCCCATGCGGTGATGTCATCCATGGAAACTTCGCAAGTCCTCGCCTTCCTCCAAGCTCTTAGCAGAGTCTGCTCAGTGCCACGTGCTCAGCTGTGGCCTCCTCGCAGTGCCTCGCAGACATGTGTCGGCGGTGATCCTCAGGCTCGAGGACCTCCTGTCCATCGCACGCGAAGGCAGCTCCTTGCAGGTCATGGAGGCGGACCGTTCCGACGAGAAGTTGGTGTGTGGACACCCCCAAAGTATCCCAAAGTGTGCAGGCCGTTCGACAGTTCCTGGCGGAGCTGGCACCCTTGGCGGCGCTCATCTTCGTCGTTGCAGCCTGGCAACCGCACGCAGGGCGGCCTAAGTAGGGCCGTCGGGCGTTGCTGAGCGTTGCGGTTCGATGCATTCGATGCTCAGACTGTGCTCTGATGCCTCTGAGGACCGAGAGCGCATGCCTCCCACCGCATGTCACGGCCTCGGTCACAAGGAGCATGGGACTTGCGATACTTGCGTGAGTTGGCTTCGGGAGGTGTAAAGACTGTCCTGATAGCTTGCAAGGTTACCATGAGAGCACCAAGCAAGTCTTCACACCAAGCTCCAAAGAAGGCCTGATCTTTCCGCTCGGCAGATTAGAACTGACACGAAGTTTGCATGTTCGGGCCAGATGCGGCTGGCAGCGCATCTGCCAGAGCCCAAGGACTTTCAGCACATCTCGAGAGTCTGCTGTGTGTAGCCTCGAAGGTGCAAGGCGGAGGCGGAGGTCGTGTGCTCGGGGGCGTTGGGCAGTCCACAAACAGTTCCAGAGAGGGCAAAACAGTGCTAAGCTTGAGCCAAGCTTAGGGCAGGCCGTCAAGAATGCATGAACTTCTGGATCTGTCTTTGGTCCTGCAGGCGAATCACCCATTCTGCGGGCGGCTCGGGTCGGCTTTCGGCTGACTTGCAGGCTGCTCGGCAAGTTGACATTTAAACACGGCTTTCTAACGACGGGACGGAGCGACTGAACGAAGAGTTCGGAGGACTTTGCGTCAGCTGATGCAGCTGTCGTCCAAACTCCAGACAAGAGTGCGACGAGCCGCTTGCCAGAATTCAACGAGGGACTTCACCGGATCGCAGAAGGACAACAGCTCTAGAGGTTTTGTCTTAATGCAGAAGGCACAGGGACCTCCTGTAGAAATCTGCCGCTAAGGAAGCATCTGCTGTTGTCCCATTCACGATGGCGCGATGTTTAGCACAGGCGCGATGGACTCGTGCAGTGCGCTGCAGCAAGCTCTAAATGGAAAGTCTCATCTGAAGCAGAGGTGGCAAAGGCTGTTCTGGTCGCCCCGCGGCCGCCCAGCTCGTCTGTAGCCTTGCGATGGGTTGCCGAGGCACGAGCTTGTTTACTTTTCGGGCTCTTGGAGTGCTTGTAGCTCGCACCAGGTCTTTGACTTGCTGCAGAAGATGCATGAGGAACAGAACAAAGTGGCGCTTCGAAGCTTGGCGCTCTGTGCCTTCTACCAGGCAGGGGCTGGGAGCCGCCTAGGGCCTAGGGAAGGCCGAGAAAAGAGGGAAGTTTGCAGACAGCTGCGCAGGCTGGTTGCTTCGAGATGCTGCAGCCCCTGATTCAGCTCCTGTTCTGCAGAGCGCCCGCTTGATGAAAAGACACAGAAGTTGCTCTTCTAGGCTCTGCTGAGCCAAGGATGTCCTTGGAGAAGATCGGTGATAGCAAGGAGGACCTTGCGGCTGGCACAGCTTTGTCTGCGGTGTGCTCCTCAGATCTTGGACGTGGCTCACGGCCGAAGTTTCTCAAGTTCTGCTTCTTTTGGGGACGGAGTTGAGCAAGCCTTGCTGTCTGGGTGGTTTCGTCCGTGCTGTGCAGTCCGGTCAAGCATGTTTCATTGCCGTGAGGCCCTGGGCTACTTCGAGAAAGTAACCTCCACTCGAAGGTTTGCCAATGCATACCTAAGAGACGAGGCAATGATGTCCAAGGACAGGTGCAGAGGGGTCGAAAGCGGCCGAGAGAAAGAGCACCTTTTGGACAGTCAGCCTGAAGCATGCTGAAGACAACAAGAGGAAAGGAGTGGATACCTGAACAAGGCAATGAATCATGATCGGTGGGGGAATAGGTCAAGTAAGGTCGGCGGAATTTGAGAATCACGTGCTCCGTACTTTGCAGGAGATGCTCTGCAAATCCATCCAGGCACTTCCGTTAAGCGACTGCGGACTCTTTTCATGGTTGGTCGCCCTTACGGAACGGACAGAATGCAAGAGAGATCAGCGCCAGACACGTCTATTGCTAATGGTGCAGCCAGGCAGAGGCTCTGCGGTGCCTGCTGCCCGTCTGGCGCCATCCTCAATTCGCGAATTTCCCGCGGTCCAGCTGCTGCTCCCTTCTCAAGGCTCGGGGAATGTGGAGATGTGCTGAAGCCTTGGGAGCCCCGGCACTGTGCAGGTGTGGCTACATTTGCTCCAAGAGCCGAAAAGCGAGCCCCGCACACCGGATTGGCACCGGCTGTCCAGTCGCAAGCTGAGCTGACAAGCGCTGAACGAAGCATAGCACCGAGATCCGTCGCCGGATGTGGGCGCGTCTGAGGCATTCCCGCCCTTCCGAACATCGCCGGGATGCAGCACGTGCAGCATGTACAGCAGGATGGCTGCTGCAAAGGTTTCACAGCGATGTGTAGTCATGGCTCTTAAAGCCCATGCCACTCTCGAAGGAGATGGTCAGAACAGCGGATGGCAACAGTGTGCCAGACGCTGCGGCCAGCCTAATGGCCAACGATCCAGCCATCATCGCTGTCAGTGGCACCAGTGTCCCCACCGCCGGAACAGCCGCAACGCCCAACACTCCCGCCAGAGCCCCCACTGGCACATCTGACGTTACCAACATCCAGGGTCTGGGCCTCGTCTTTAGTCGTGGCCCGCTCAATGCCAGTTCCGCCTCTTTCCGCTTTCCGTCTCTGGCCTTCCGAGGTACTCTCGTGGACATGGGCTTTTCAAGAACGCAGGCGAGCTACTGACAGCATGTTAGATATTGTATCATTAATAAAATACGAGGGTTGCACGGGCATTCCAGAAAGACGGCAAGTCGCTGGGAGTTCCTGGACAAGAGTGCTCAAGGCCGGAATCGAAGAAGGAATCTCTGTCTCACTTTCCACGATGAAGGAATCCAATCCTCGTTGCCTGCTTAGCTTGTTTTGGTATTCCGGTATTGCTGTTTCACGATGCATTTTTTTTTCCAGTGCTTCTTTGGCATCGTTTCTTTTTCATTTTGTCATGTTTCATGTCGTATCGGCAAGCAAGCCAGTGGGTTAGATTTGGCAGGTGGACGCCGCGCAGCGTCACTTCGGATCCCGAGGCCTTGTGGGCGAGAGGAATCGGCTTTGTGCTGTGGGTTCTTGTAGTGCTGACGGACGTGTGCACCAAATTCCAGTCCGACAGGTTTTCTCGCATCGTCAATAAAAAGCATCCAAGCACCAGAGTTGTACGAGCTCGGCTAGATTATTAATGCTAGGTTCCCAGGTCGCTTGTGACTGCTCTCAGCGACACGCTCGCTCTGGTAACGAATCGTGTCTTCACAACTCTTCGCTGGTAATTTGGGCATGAATTGTCACAAGTGCAAGGCAACGTCAATCCCAAGTGAGTGCCAGGGCACACGATGTGGCTGTGGTTTGAGTTTTACATGTCTATGTTTGGGCTTGTGCTTGCAAGATGATCAGCACCCTAGAGCAAAGCCACATGGATGCAGGCACAGAAGACATAAGCGAGATGATCGTTTGGATGGTCGCGTGCCTACTTCGCATAGTGGTACCTGGCAAGATAAAGATTGGGCATCTCCATCGTTGAGTGCCCTTGCAGGTTGCGAACCCAACGGTCGACGGCGAGGCCCGGCCGGGCATTGTGTTTGTCAGCAATGCATCTCACAGCATTGACGCACTGCTCTTCAAACAGAGACCACGGTAGCAGGACAGGCAAGCCCCCCTACATTAACCGAAGATTCCTTTGGGAGCGCCCAACTTGCGAAGCGAAGTGTCGCTGCCAGGTTTCGGAGACGCTGCGGCAGCCGGTGCACACCCCAGGATCTTCGAAAATGAGAATGGCATCACAGATATCCGTGCGTTGGTCCAACTTGAGATTTGAGGTGGTTCAGGAGGAGTTCCAGACCCTGCTGGCAGGCTTGCTGGATGTGGGCTTCCTAGCGTTGGCTCCAACGGAGTCCTGGGAGCATCGCATGAAGGCTTAAAGTGGTCGACCTCCACGACCGAGCCCCAAATCCTCAATAAAGTCTTGCCGTTCACTTCTGTTCCTCCTGGTGCGTGCATTTGCAGCGAGCATGAACTTTCACATGCTAAACTAGGAAGCAAGATTCAGTTGACAAAATTCAATGCAATAGATCACAGCCCAAGGATTTGCTCCCGCGGCTCTTGGCCTGCGGACACCAGGCTGGGACAGGCTTTGGTTCTTGAAGCTATTCCTGCCCCCTCGGTTCGTTCTCCGGGAGGTGCAGAAGGCTCTGAATGCGGTCGTGGACACCATTTGTTATGTCGCAGAAAACCCATCGCCCTTCTGGGAGCGTCATGCCGACAAATTCGTGAACATCTCACGGGAAGCAGGGATTTGTTCTTCACCTTCCATAGCCAGGCCCCGGGGACAGCGACTCCAACAGCAAGGTAGCGGCCGCAGACAAGGGAGGTTGTGAGCTACGCTGATCATCGGCAGAAGCTGTACATCGGACTGTAGTCGGTGGATGAAGCATGCAGCACCGAGTGCCATGGTTTCAGGTTTCGTTGCGTCCAGGACTAGTTCGCACTCTTGTTGCATGGTCTACTTCGTCTCATGTGAGTGCATCAATCCCAAGCCACACATGACACAAGAGTGCAAAGTAACCATAGAGCGTTGCCCACAGGCTGTCATTCGTGCCTGCGTTGCCGAATTGGGAGATGCAGATGCGCAGCCAAGTTCTGCCGGCTGCCTGCAACAGGTGTTCCCTAGGTTCCTGGTTCAGCGAGATGCTTGTCTTAACTCTCATTCGCTGTTGCTAAGGAGACGCTCATCTGCGTGACGCAGGCAGTGACACAGTGCGTGGCTTGTTCGTGAAGGGTTGGCAAAGCTGAGACTGAGGGGGAAACGTATCGAAACTTCGGACACGACTCGCTTTCTTCGCCAGTGGCTAAACTCTGCCGTGCTGCAGACGCTGGGCTCAGAGTCCGACCTGTCAGGTAGCCAGGATACGAAAATGATCCTACCGGAACCCGAGCTTGAAAGAAGGCTGCTGAGGACGCTCGACAGGGCCAGGTGCGGCGGCGACAGCAAAAGCTCCTCGGGCACGAGTTGTTCCACGAAGAGCTCAGGTTTCTCAGGAACTGAGAACTGGTTCGAGTCCTTCCAGGGAGAGGCCTGGTTAGATCCTCAGGACCAGGAGATCCAGGAGACCAAGTCCACGTCCAGGCGCCGGCAGTGGCGGCTGCAACGGGAGAAGAAGCTCTTCCAGCTCCCAGCTTGCACATAGCTGGGCATGGCCTTGTCATGAGTTTCACAGCATCGGGTGAGTTATGGTGACTTGGAAGTATTTCTTTTCCTTCCACGTTTGCCCAGGGGTGCCAAGGGTCAGTTGGAGTTTCAAGATCTCTTCGTCCCAGTGGTGGTTCTGATTCCGAGCACGCGCAGCTGAGGTTTCTGGAAAGTCATGGATTTTCTTCCGATGTGTGCGAACCGCGGGCGCCTGCTGGCTGCGTGCTCTTCCGGGTCGAAGTTCTCTACCCGATCCATGTTGCAGCCCAGAAGGGCGAGTGTGAGGTGGATATTACTATATGTGTGTGTATAACATATATAGACATAGACATTTATCATAGATGTGTTTGTATATAGTTTTTCCATGCTAAAAATTCAGCAGTATATTGTGGTATATTAGAGGCTTCACGGTAGCAGCTTTCCAATCCTGTGAGGTGGTGCGCATGCTCATAGCAGCAGGAGCCGACCCATCTCAGCGCACTTCTCGTGGGCGCACTGCTGTCGATTTCGCCGTGAAGTCGAAGTCGCCGCACACTCGCCAACTGCTGGAGCTGCTGCGCAGCCAGGGTCGTGTTCTGTGCCTTCGAGATGCTGTGAACATGATGCAGAACCTCAACAAGTAAAGCTCAGACAGGCGAATGACTGATGGTCCAAAATTCCTTGATTTTCCGTGCAGAATTCCTCTTGGGTTGGGTTCCGATCCCACCACGATTTTTAAGGGTTCGTTGTTCATCAACGAATGTCGGGTCCTTTGCAAGTCACTCTTGACTGGAGCTCGAGGTGCCCATATCGGCTGCTCAGCAGTCGTGGAAGGAGCAATCACGCCTTTGCGTTGTCACGGTCTATGTCTTTGTCCTTTGTAATAAACAAGCACGTTGCACGCATGTCGTGCCCCATGCCGATGCACATACGTGCATATGACGATATGACATATGCATGTATATGCGTTTTTTTCGCTATCTCTCTCGCTCTCTCTCTGTTTCTCTTTGTGTGTGCACATGCTTGTCTGCAGACATGAGTAAAGCTCTTATTCGAGCGCATCTGTATCCTCGCATGCTGTATGATATATACACATAGATATGGTATATATAGATATATATATATATATACACAGGCGTACATATATACATATACATGTAGCTTAGAACCGAGTTCGAATGCTGTGACTTCCTCTCAAGCTGAAAAGGGGGCGCGCATGGATATCGCTCTCTCTGCGGCC